TCTGTTAGCGGCTGGTTCATCTTTCCTCCCATATTTGCAAAATGCAAGGCTAAGTCCAACTGTTCCTTGGCTCCTCATTGTTCTTAGCTCACACATCTAGATCTCAGTGAGGTCTGGAGGACCAGGACAGCCGGCCGCCGCCCCTGCTTCCTTCTCTCCAAGGTTACTCTGACCTGGGCCTGCCACACCCTTCCCCTTCCTGGCCACCCCCTCAGCCCTCCTGACTCCTGTTACCACAGAAACGCCGTAATTATGTATAATTGTGTATGTAACTGATCTGTTTCCCTTCTGCCCCACTCCCACTCCAGGCGACACGTTCCGTGACTGTGTCCCTCATGTCTAGAACAGTTTCTAGGTGTCCGATATGGCTTGTGAAATGAATGAACGACTGAACGACTGTGCATAATGTTTTTTGTTTGTTTGTTTGTTTTTGTGGGACCCTCGCCACAGGCGGCCGGGGATCGAACTGGCGCTGCAGAGGCTGCGGGCAGCCTCGCAACCCAGCGCTCTACCGCTGCGCCACCAGGGAAGGCCCTGTGCATAATGTTTTTGATTGTTTCACATAAGCAATTCTTTCCGTAGCTTCAGTGAATTATAACCAATACTGAAAAGTGGGAATGTAAATTTTCTTTTCTTCTTAAATCAAGTAAAGGTAATTGTATGACATGTCATCACTGATACGTGGCATCTCTACTGCTCTTTCTGTAATGAGACCTTTCAAAGATCCACGAGAGTGGGGAGGAGCACAGGGACCCGGATCTAGGCCCTGCCAGCTGCACCAATCCCCAGCTGTTGCTCATCTGGATGCATCCCACAAACACCTCCAGAGGCCAGCGCCCTCACTGCATTATTTTAAAGCTACCCCAGATAGCATATTGTTTCAACCATAAAACTTAATTATGTGTCTGTTAAGATAAAGACTCTTTTCAAACTTAATGCCATCTGCACACCTAAGCAATTCTTTTTTTATTACTATTTTTATCGAGACACAATAGACCGGGAACATTGAATTCGTTTCACCTGTGCCACATTGCTCTGCTGTGGGTGTGTATCGCTAAATGAGCACCCTACTAAACCTAGTGAACATGCTCCCCATACTTAGATCCAAAACATTTTTTTTTTTTGCTGTGATGAGGACTTTTAAGATTTCCTCTCTTAGCAACTTTCAAATATGCCAACTATATTAGCCAGACCCCGGCTGCACATTCCCTCCCGGGACTTATTTGAGAACTGGAAGTTTGTACCTTTTGACCCCTTTCACCCACCCCCTACCCCCGCCTCTGGCCACCACCAACCTGGTCTTTATAGCTATGAGCTCGATTGTTTTTAGATTCCATGTAATTGTTTAGGAGATCTTTAATATCATCAAACATCTAGTCAGTATTTAAGCTGCCCAAATTATCTCACAAATGTCCATCGGTCCCTTAAGCCCTCACACGACAGTCCCTCCACCCTTTTCTGTTTATCTTGATATTTGTTTCTTAAAGACATTGTCTTCTTGGGCTTCCCCGGTGGCGCAGCGGTTGAGCGCGGGGTTGCGAAGCTGCCCGCAGCCTCTGCAGTGCCGGTTCGATCCCCGGCTGCTCCCCGGCCACCAGAGGAGGGTCCCACATGGCGCACAGACCTCTCCTGCCGCCCGCTGCTCCCCTCAGCAGTGTACTTCGGTCCTTCTGCCTGTTCTGCATCCTGCTCTGACTCTGGTGAATTCTCTCACCCTCCCACGCTGCGCTTCTGACTGTACCCAGTGTTTGTATGAATAAATAAATAAATCTTTAAAAAAAAAAAAAAAAAAAAAGACATTGTCTTCTTGTCTGTAACTTGGCGCCATTTTTTATTTGACAGGGAACACCCTGGTAGGCAACCTAGAGACTTGATGGGTGTCCGCTTTGATTTGGTGCCCTGGGGCAGGCGTTCCCTGCTATTCCCCAACCGCTAGCTGCATCACCTCCTCGGGGCCTGCAAGGGCAGACTCTCAACCTTCCAAGACTCCATCTTTAGGGCTCTCCTGCCCACCTGTGAAACTGTTCTATGAAGACCTGTCCTGGTCTCTCTTCTATGCATTGCCTACCGAGCGGCATGGGGGAGCCCCTTTATGCCACCATAAGGGGCTTGCTAGGTCCCCAGTATACCAGCTTTGTGTCTGCCTCAGGGTGTTTGTAGTTGTCGAGCCCTCTGTAAAGCGCCCCTCAGGATCTGTGCACGGAGTTCCCCCAGTTTATATTTGTCCCCTCCTCAGAGGAGACTTTCTGACCCTCTTCCTGTTTGTTACTCTACCCCTTTACCCTTTTTCTTCAAGCCACTTAGTTTTGGGGGTCCCGATGATATCTATTTCTGTGCACTTGTTAATTGCTCTCCTAGGCCATGCAGTACAGGCCTCCCCAAGATGTGTTACTTGGGCGTGTGGATTACTTCAGGCTGAGCTCAACTGTGGTCCTGCAGGCTCCAGAGAAACTTATTTTTCTCTCCTTTACCTGGAAGAATGAAAATTGGGGCTATTACCCAGATTTAGGGTCATCTCCAGAAATAACCTCTCTATGGGAGAAACCTATCTGTATGGCCGGGCAAACATGTTGTAGTGCCAGCAACCAGGTGCAGAGCAGGGGGAGGGAGGAGGGGGTGCAGGGGGGAGGCTGGCAGGCCTCCCAGCCCCCGGTGAATCTTTATGCTCTCTCTTCTGGGCTCTCTCCGCACTATCTCATGGTCTTTTCCTCTCGTAGCCATTCCACCGTAGCTGTTCATCACCACAGCTGTTCTGTGTGATGTCTCCCTTCTATCCGCAGCCTCCAGGCTCAGGCGTGCACACTCACACACGCCCACACCATACTCCAGGTGTCCACAATCAGCATGCATGCCCGTGCCCACGATCTCAAGTGCCTCCTGCCTTAGCACAATTAAGGCTGCAGGTGATAGCCCCAGAGGCCAGCGGCGTAAAAGCCTGACCAATTCACTTCCCCTATACATGCACTTACAGAGACTCTGGTCTTGTCACATGAGTCACCATCTCCTTGCTACATGAGTCCCCTCTTTGAAACCCCAGGCCTCTGTCCATCCAGACCAGCTTCTCGTGACCTGGACATCTGGCCTCCAACCCTTTACATTCCTTTTTTCGTTTATCCTCCAGACTCAGTAGCAGCATGTGTTGAAGTCATGCTGTGCAATGGATCTCATAGCCACCCCTAACTTTTACTTCCCGCTCCCACTCCTGTAAGGGTGTTCTCCCTAAGCTCGGTCATAGAGCTGAAAGGAGTGGATAACATCCTTTAGTCCAGGCTCCTGCCAGCACCCTAGTCCTTTCTCTAGCTTTACTGACAGCTGGTAGCATTTACTCTGAATTCTTTAGGTGACACTGACAGGGAATTATCTCACTGGACAATTTTCATTGTTAGAAAATTCATTTTTTTAAATTTATACAAGCACTGGGTACAGTCAGAAGCGTGGGAGGGTGAGAGAATTCACCAGAGGCAGAGCGGGGAACAGAACAGGCAGACTGACAGAGGACACTGCTGAGGGGAGCAGCGCAGGAGACACGAGAGGTCTGCAGCGCCATGTGGGACCCTCGCTGGCAGCCGAGGATCGAACCGGCGCTGCAGAGGCTGAGGGCAGCCCCGCAGCCCAGCGCTCCACCGATGCGCCACCAGGGGAGGCCCGGAAAATTGTTATAATGAACTGAAATTATTTTACACACACACACACACACACACACACACACACACACACACACGAGCGCGCGCACTCCAAGCCTAGAAAGAGAGGTCTGAAAATGTGTGAAGATACATCAAATCCTTTGTGGCTTTACTATTCATCCAGTTTTGTGGTCTCCCTCCTGGCAGGAGAATTATACTTCATCCAGATTAACTCAGACATAGTTGAAAATTGAGAGGAAATAACGTGTCACTTCTGGGTAGAAGCTTTGAGAGCCGGTTTCACTGAAGGCCTTTCTCCTCCTCCGAGTCAAGCTAAGTTCCAGAGAGGGGCTGCTTTATCAGTCTGAGTCCCAGAGCCAAGACATCGCCCAGCGAAGACAATGCCCCAGCAAACCCGCGAGGGACCCGTGGTTTAAGCCCGCTGATAGTCACTTCAGGTTCAAATAACTGAACCGGTGGAGGTTGTTGGTAAAACATAAGCTAGGCCACCTGAAGTGAATCCCCCGCACTCCTCTACTCAGTCCTCGCGAGTCAGTGTTAGCCTCTCACCGTCCTGGCCAGTCCCCTGGACTCCACTCATTTCTGCCCTCTCCCGCAAAATTATGCGCCTTAAAAAGTGGGGCCCAGATCGGAACCCAGCCCCCCCGGTGCCATCCCGCCCGTGCACAGCCCAGCCCTGAGGCCGGCGACCCGCTCTCAAGAGACGCTGGTTTGTGCGCTTGGCGCGGGCTTTTAGGAGCGGCCGCGTCGTGCTGGTCGTTCCAATTGTGCGTGCGCCAGAACAGCGCTGGGGGACAGGCTCTTCCCAGGGAGCGCTCACGACTGGCCGCCTAACCGACTTGGAGGCCCTGCCGGGGCAGCCTTTTACAGCTGTCACGCGACCTCTCGAAGGCAGGTTCCCGGCAGAACCACCCGCAGAACACGACGTTCTGTCTTTGGCCCCGACCACGTCGTTAATCTTCACAGCCCGCGTACTGAGCTCCAGGCTGCCGGTCGGCGACACCGGAAGGGCTGGGCGCACGGTAGGATTGGCCGGCACGACCTCCAATCGCGCACGCGGAGCCCGCGGAGCGCCAGCCAAGGCCAAGGCCCGGGTGCGCGGGGCTCAGGAGGCGGGGCCCTACTTTCCCACGCAGGCGCCCTCAAGTCCCCGGCCCCTCGCACGCGCGCCGCGCGGTAACGGAAGGCGCCCCCCCCACCCCGCCCACTCTGGCTTCAAGACCCAATGGGCGGCCGCGCCCCTTTTAAGTGGGCGGGGAGCGCCCCGCGGGCCGTCCTGGTTGGCCCGCGGGCTGGCGCGGCGCGTGACGTCTCTCCGTCCTCGTCGCGTCGCGCTGCTTTAAGGAGTGACGTCGGGCGCCTGAAGGAGACTTGGGGACGCCGGGCTGAGGCTCTTGGGCTCCTCGGTCGCCGCCGCCGCCGCTGCCACAGCCCGCGCTTCATGAGGAAGATGCTCGCCGCGGTGTCGCGCGTGTTATCGGGCGCCGCCCAGAAGCCGGTGAGGCGGCGGGAGCGGGAGCGGGGCGCGCGGCCGGCGGGGGGTCCGGTCCCGGGGCGCGCGGCGTGGCGGCGCGTAGGGCGTAGCGGGCGCCGCGGGCCTTTGTTTTGCCGCGGGAGCGTAGCGGCCGCGGGTGCCGGCGCCGACCTGGGGTCGGACGGCGCTGCGCGGGGAGGTCGGCGCGGGCTGGCGGCTGTGCCCCGACGTGCCCGTTCGTTGGCCGCGGGCCGCCTCCCGTGTGAGGTGACTCCATCTCCCAGCCCGCCCGCTTGAAACCGCCCTTTGGCGTCTTGGTGATGGCGAGGCCGTCGCGGGTGAAGGCGTGGGGCCTGGCGCACATCAAACCCCGGCGTCTCGGCGCCCAGCCGGGTGCTCCGTTCCATCCGGAAAAGGGAGCGGGTGGTAGCGCTTGCCCCGCGGGGGCGTTCCGAGGGCTCCGTGAGCGGCTTGTTTGTAAACTCGCCCGGTGGCGCGTGGGTCGCGCTGGGCGCCGGGCGTTAGCTGCTGCCGGCTTCGCGTGCCCGGCTGGTGCCACCTCGCGTGAGCACCGCGGTCGGCTCTGGCAGGTTCCGCACAGTGTCGAGTTCCCAGAAACGACTCCATCCCCTTAATTCTCTGCAACCTCGGGCCTTTCTTAGCTGTACCTTGGAAGCAGGCGTGCGAGAACCCAGGGGAAACTGTCCCTCGCCCCAGGCACCCACTCAGGGTGTGTAAAAGCGGCTAATGGCAAGTGTTCCTGGGGAGGGATGGGCTTAGAGGTAACTGTGACTCCAGCCTTTCGGCGCGCCCAGCACCTTGGGCTCTTGTGACCTCTAGGCACAGTGAGGTGGCATTACTTGGCTACGTGCAGCCAAGCTCCGACTTGTCCTTCTGGCTCTAGTAACTCTCCCAGGACTTCGTGGCAACTCTGCCTAGTATGGGCGGTGCGCGCGGAAAGGGAGCGTGGGCACCCCTCTTGGCATCCCATTGCAGTAACTACAGAGCACAATTTGATTAATCGATCAGCTATTAGCCTTTAAATTGTAAGTGGCGCTGCCCGAAGGAGAAGCACATTTATGTCACCGTTATGTGCTTCTGCATACACCTGCCGACACAGCCAGCCTTTATGGCGCTCTTAATGTGTGCCAGGCACTGGGTTTGGTGTTTCACGTTCTTTGCCACACTCGCTACAGTGGCTCACTTTTTAGCTGAATGTAATAGAAGCATGTTTTCAATATTACACAGACCCTTAGTTCTGCGTTATGTTACATTTAAAGGACCTGCATTAAAAAGGGAAGGTTTTGGTAGAATTGGTGATGATTTACAGAAAAAGGAAAAACTTGACATCGAATTATGGTCACATCTGTGTCCCTTTGAACTCTAGAGAGAGGTCGTTATTTAAAACCTAAGCCTCAGTCCCTCAAGTGTCCCAAATACTCTCAGTTGTGTTTTCTAATCTTTCAGCAATATGTTGGCATGAAATGCAAATTCCATTTCATCTTCCTCTCAGTAGATTTGGCCTCTTCAAAAATCAGCCCAAATTGAATAGACATGAGTTTTAGGCTACAGTGATCTTTCAACTGGATAAAACTAGAGAGGACTGTAACTTCATCCAATTACAAAAAGTTGTTATTGAGAGAAAAGACTATTATGGTGGAACTGGATCCCCTTACATAATATTTCTAAATTTTTCAAAAGATTTATTATATTTATGCATACAAGAGCTGGGGTGTAGGCCAGTGGTGTGTGTGTGTGAGAGTGAAAGGATATACCAGAGTCAGACCAGGGAGTAGAACAAGCAGCTCTATGGAAATACACTGCTGAGGGGATCAGCAGGTGGGACAGGAGAGGTCTGCTGCGCCATGTGGGTCACATCCTTGGCCAGGGATTGAACTCAGGCTGCAGTGGTTGGCGATAGCTTCATAGAGCTGAGACTTAACCCTTTGTGCCACCCCAGAGGTCTCCATGCTCTTTATTTTAAGTCACCCCTCTTTTTGCCAGTTTTGTGTGTTTCTTGTGTATATGACGATTATATTTGAACAGTGAAAAATATTTTGAAAAATTATGTATGAACTCTATATGTGTCTGTGGACTGAAACTGTATTGGCTCTCTTCTCAGCAGAGCAAAGTAGCTAGCTAGTCACTGTTTCCATAGACTAGTAATCCAGGAGATGTTGCCAGAGTGCTCACTGTACTTTGGGCTCTGGGGTCTAGTGGGTCATTCCTCATCGGGTTTTGGTTGTGTTTAACACAGGCTATTTAGAGTGTTCGGAAGGATTTAGAACCATCATATATCTATACTTTTTTTTTTTTTTTAAGACTTGTACTTCTTAATGCAAAAAACCTGATTACTAGTTAATGGGAAGCACTTGAAACGGTGCGGCATGGATGGGTTTTTGTTCCACAACATGCCAGGCTCCCAGTGATTCTGGGTTTGAAACTTAATTTTTTTTCAAATTTCCATTGGTTTACAAAACCGTGTAGGTTTCAGGCTGTATCTTCACACCTCAATAAATGTGTGCATCACAAGTGATCCTTCTGTTTATCCCATTCCCCTTTTCCTTCCCCCTGGTAACTCCCACTTCGTTATCAGAGCCTAAGATGTTTTCGTTAGTTTGCTTTGCTGCTTTATATTCCACATGAGTGAAACCATCCAGTATTGTCTTTCTCACGTTTCATTTAGTATCATTACCTCAAGTTCTAGCCATGTCACATAAAGCAAGATTTCACATTCCTTAAAATTAAGGCAACATCAGATGGTCTAAGCATAAGTGATATATTTTTTTTACCTTTTTAAACAAACTGAATTAAAGTGGTACGTATAGTGTTTAATATCTTAGAACCTCGGTGGAAATGTTGCTGTAATTTATCGTGGTGTTTACTGCTCCATTTGCGACACCTGGGGTTACCAGGGTCTGGCCCGAGTGGACGCCTTGGGCTATTGTCTCCCTCTACTTGGTATCCTTCAGCCCGCCTTCCAAAACCTGTGAGAGGTCAGCGCCTTCTTTTTCAGTAATTATCTAGGTCATTATTTTATTTATTTTTGGTAGCTTTTCTAAAGTAAATTCTCATTGGTTTATAAGAGCATGCAAGTTTCAGGTGTCCAGCATTGTAATCAACATGTCTGCACTGATCACCACGGAAAACCGACTCTCCACCGTGGTCATGATTACTTAACAGAAAGTTGAGACTCTCCAGATGGAAGCAGGGCCCAGTGTAACTTAATTCACTTAAGGTGCCTCAATAGCTGTGATTTCATCTTTGAATGAGGTTGAGTTTTCAAAGTTCTTAGTTCACATAAAATTTAAACGGCACTTAAAATTTTTATTTTTTGTCTTATTGCTTGTATTTCCATTATGACCCCTTTCTTTTGTAAGATTTTTACTACCAGTATATTCTTTGGACTTTTTAGGTAGTAGGTAAGATTTTTAATTTAAACTAGTAGAATCTGGAATTTTTGAAATGTTTCACCTTTCACTTAAATGGTTCCCAAGTATTTAGAAACAGCTGGTATCGCAAAGAGGACTTCCTTTCGACAGAACTTTTTTTGACTCTCCAGAGACAGTGAATGGTGATCTTTTCAACCATATTAAGTCAGAAATTATGGTGTCCTCACACTTCTGATAGGAACTCTAGCCTGACTCCTTTCACCTGTAATGTCAGTGAGTGTCCTTACTTTTGAAATTTGGAATGAAACTGGAAAAAGGTATCTTAAGTAGCTTCTGACAGCCAAAACCTGTCACCTACCTTCCTGCTTTTTATTATATAGACCTGTCATTCTTTGTTGTTTGGACTTCAGGCTTGAGAAAGAAAATTTTGCCTTTTCTCAGTTACTGTTCCCCGACTGGTTTGATCTCTGATTTTCAGTATTCCCCAAAACCTGTTTCTGTAGCTGCATCTGGAAATTCATTTCGCAATACAAGAACTATTTCTGGCTCCACAAAATAACAGCCAAAAATAACATGTCTTTTTTTATGATTGCCAAATACAACCTTTTGTTTGCCACCTCAAGCCTCTCGGCTTTACTTCCTCCCAAATTTATCCGTTTTCTTCACTTATTCTTAGACATATTAAGGGACTGTTCTGGCTTGGCTGAAGCATTTATTTCCAGTGTTTTAAACTGTTTTTCTCCAGCAATATTATTGTCTTTCCCTGTTGACTTTGCCAGATAATGGCATGTGGATGGGTGAAGAGATAGAGGGAATAGCTTTCTGCCTCTTGGCTCGTCTACTTGGAGGTATGCACTTTACAAGCAGGTCAGTCTTCTCTAAGTTCAAATCCAGTGCTAGCAGTTAAATGGTAAGGGAATAATTCTGAATCAACAACATCAAAGTAATATTTTGTGGGCTCTGATGAATGTGCCCCACGTCTCCATGGAAAGTCATGTTGGTTTACATATCAGTGTGGGAAAATAGGACGCCCCGTGGCTAGAATGGTATAATACCGCCGCTGCTTACATGTCTCTGGTCTAACTTGGACCTTCGCTGTTACATAGATTTGCTGTAAGCAGGTATGTTTGTATGTTTAAGAGTAGAAAGGAATCATTTCCAGCAGCTTTTTATCCCCCCACCCCACCCCCACCCGAAGGTCTGGGGCTTCAGGAGGCTCCTGCCCAAGACACAGGCTCAAATTAGAAAACATCTCTCAGGTGCACTGCTTTTAAGTCAGGGAATGCTGGCTGTCTTCTTTTGTCTTACACATTTCTCATGAAAGCATTTACCTCACACTATGAGTAGTTTAAAATTTTTCTTAGAGGTCCAGCTCATAGAAAAGTAATTTGCCTAAAATTAGGGATTCATAGTTTTATTTAAAATAGAGTTCTGAAAGTGAAACTTTAGCTTGTTGGAAATATATTATGACTAAGTACCTTACGTGCAAAGCCCACAGATTGTCTAGTCTCTTCAGTGTGGCCATTAACAGCAGCGTATTCTCACTGTCATTTTCTCGGGTTTTGGCCCCTTTCTCGTTCTGCTGTTGGCCTGGAGATGCAGGTGGGGTCATAGTTCACTGGCCTAAGCGTGCGTTCATTTTGGAAGACCAGATCCCTATACAGAAGCAGCATGGAGGAGAAGCCCCAGAGTATGGTGTGGTGTATTAAAGCTCCATGACCGCATCTGATAATGATTTTCAAAAAGAACTAACAATAAAAAGTGCTGATTTGTTTATTTTGATCTTTCAAGGCAAGCAGAGTGCTGGTGGCATCCCGTAATTTTGCAAATGATGCTACATTTGAAATTAAGGTAAGAAGTATTTCATTTTCCCATGGGTACACTCTGATACGCAGTTTAACCTTTGGAATGGAACATTTTGGTGTTCATCCTTTTTCACTATTTTCTTCCAAAATATTCTGGAAGTTTACAAAAATTAGAATATGCTTATTTAGCAGCTTGGGGCAGGGGCCATTACAAAACTTGGAGACTTCAAAGTTCAGAATGTAATTCAGTGAAACATTTGAGTAAGATTCTTGGAATGCTTTGGAAGTTTGTCTTTCACTTGACTTCCGGGAGTTTTCACTGAAAGACATTTTAGGCCCCCTCCCCCATCCCACTGTATAGTAAGTTTCGTGACTTAAGGCGTCAGAAGCAATATGCAGTATTTCTGCTGTGCATCTGCTGGGAGTTTTTTATTTAAATATTATTTGCAGTGTTGACTACGTCATAACTGGAAGTTAACTGCCTGATTCCATTTCAGAAGTGTGATCTTCACCGGCTGGAAGAGGGCCCTCCCGTCACAACTGTGCTCACCAGGGAGGATGGACTCAGATACTACAGGATGATGCAGACCGTGCGCCGAATGGAGTTAAAGGCTGACCAGCTGTACAAGCAGAAAATCATTCGTGGTTTCTGTCACTTGTGTGATGGTCAGGTGAGTGGTAGTTGTGTAATAAAACCATGTTATTTAGGAATTTGAGTATGGGTTGTGTTTGTTGACTTTCACCCTGACTTACGTTGGGAGAATTCAAGGCTGGCATTTTAGAATGAAAATGAGACTGTTGAAACCTGTTGTGAAGAATTTATTCACATCATATTGCTCATTTCCTATATTTTAAAGCTTTATGACATTGTGGTTACACATACTGGACATACTTGTAGGAAAGAGATTTTGTGACTTGCCAGTGGCTTGGAGTTAACCCCCCCCCCCCCCCCCCCAGTTCTGATGGAAAATAGAGCCATTCTGTTTATTAATGAAGACTTCTGCTAGGCCAAATGTTTCATAATAGTCTAGGATACATTTTATCCAGGAACGTATATTGACTCATCACTGCTTTTGCCTTTAATGCAGGAAGCTTGTTGTGTGGGCCTGGAAGCTGGTATAAACCCCACGGACCATCTTATCACAGCCTATCGGGCTCATGGCTTCACCTTTACTCGTGGGCTTTCTGTCCGAGAAATTCTTGCAGAGCTTACAGGTTTGATGTTGATTTATTGACAGGGAAAACGGGTGAATTAAGTTTTCAAATCTCTCCCATGAAGATGTTAGCCATCATGAGTTAATACTAGAACCTTTTTCAGTTAAAAAAAACCTTTCCTCTATTATGCTTTTGAATAAACTGGCCAGTTTTGAGGCCATTAGGCCCCTTAGGTAAAAGTTTGAAAGGTTAGCTCTATGAAGCCAGAATAGTGTTTACCACAGTGCAAGCGTGCCAGCGGAAGTCCAGCAGTCCTAGAAAGTAAACTAAATAGAAATGTTTTGTTGTATGCAAATCAAATTTTAGGAATCTTAGTGACTCTTGAACTATTTGGTATGCCAGTGTAGGAGGATTTGGAAGCCTCGGGTACCATGGTAACATCTGAAGAGCAGGGAAGGTTGGAAAGATCAAGGACATGGGGACTAGCCTGATCCTCACTATAAAAGGACCAGGAGCCATAGAGGGGCAGGTGCTCCTGCAATTGGCGTTAACCTCATGGTTCTAATGGCCGAGCCTGTAAGTAATACCTGAGGTGGGGTTTTATGTGTTTGGCTTCTGATACGTTTGTGTGCTGCCATCTCCAGGACGAAGAGGAGGCTGTGCTAAAGGAAAGGGAGGCTCGATGCATATGTATGCGAAGAACTTCTACGGTGGCAATGGCATCGTTGGAGCCCAGGTAGTGCAGGAATGCATGCTTTCCGAGATTGAGCACAAGCCCACGTCTTTCCACTACCCCCAAAGAAGTTACTTTGGGGGTTTGGTGTGCTTTGAAAGACAAGATCTATTGCTTCATATCCCTAGCATTTAATCCTGTAATAATTTGGATCATTATTTTTTTTTCCTTTTTGGTGTGTGTTATATAAGCAAGAGCATCTAGCAGTGGAGCTACACCTTCACCTTTTCATTTATGTTTATTGCACACGAATATACATTTGTCCACATCACCCTCCCCACTCCCTTGCTGTAGACAGTGCGGACACTGGTGCCAATCAGCATCTCAAAGCCCAAGTTAGAATTAAAAATCAGCTTTTGTGGTTATTCTCATCAGTTAATGAAGTAGCAGGGTATAAATCATATCTTGATTGTTTGGTTTACTTTCTAATATATTGAGTCTGTTTTTTAAAATTTGGTTTCAATTTTTTATCAATAGTTGAGTACAGAAATGTTAATTGCTTAATAGATAAAATAGAATGTCATAATGTTACTTTACTGGCTTGTCTAAAGTATTCAGAGGGAGTAGGGAGAGTGTATATTTCAAATTCTAGCCAGGAGTTAAAATTCAGAGCATTAATTTCTGTCCTCATGCATTTCTGTGGTTCCTTTCCTGGTTCTACGTAATGCTAGGTGCCCCTGGGAGCTGGGATTGCTCTGGCCTGTAAGTATAACGGAAAAGATGAGGTCTGTTTGACTTTATATGGCGATGGTGCTGCTAATCAGGTGAGTATGTGTCTCTTAATTTTTCTGTAATGATTACCATTTTATTTCCAAAGTGGTAAATAGTCCTAGTTCTCTCTGTAAAGGAGTCATGTATTATTAGTTGATAGCCATTTATGTGGCAAGCTAAAACTTGGTTTCATGCCAACTTAATTTCTACCTCTTGGCATGTTTCACAAGTGCTTTATAGGGGTGCACTTCCGTGAGGGAGCTTCTTTACCCCAGTGCTTCCCAAACTCTGTAGTAACGTATCTTTACATTTTAATTCATTGCAAACCAATTCTGTAGTGTTCAAACTTCTGAGTAATCACCAGGCTGTAGACAACATTCTATGAGGGGCCTGTTCTAGACGCTGCTGCTTAGCACACTAGTTCACTCTGGTTAGCCAGTTGGGCTAACAAAGCCTAAAACTAGGTACCACATTTTTCCATGTTGACTTTTTCCCCACCACCCCAGAGAAGTAAGTGATGGGATTTGGCTTGTCTCCCCTTATTATAAGAGTGTGACCCCTGATGTTTATCTTCACCCCAACACACACTCCTTTGCCTCACCACCAAAAGCATGGCTGTAGAAGATGAGGTTTTTAGTTCTTTGAGAGCTCTCTCTGCCAGCAGAGCAGCAGCTATTATATATGATGAAAGTCTAGAAAAATAGCAAAACGAAACCACTTAAATTTTTTAATACATATTTCCAGGGTCAGATATTTGAAGCTTACAATATGGCAGCTTTGTGGAAATTGCCTTGCATTTTCATCTGTGAAAATAACCGCTATGGAATGGGAACCTCTGTTGAGAGAGCAGCCGCCAGCACTGACTACTACAAGAGAGGCGACTTCATCCCCGGGCTGAGGGTGAGGCGCAGCTTGATGTCAGTGTATGAGCAGGGTGTGTAAAGTCAGAATACTTTGGGGCAGTGTGATTCATGCTTTGCTCCTGTCCCATGTATTAACAGGTAGACGGAATGGATGTCCTGTGTGTCCGGGAGGCGACAAAGTTTGCAGCTGCCCATTGTAGATCCGGAAAAGTAAGACTCCTATCTCTGGGCTAGAGAACGCTAATAATTCATGTTAAAATTAGTAGGCCTGTTAGCTATTCATGTTGACGGTGAACCAAACCCAAAGGCAAGATAGAATTAAATGCCTCTTCCCCCTCCATTAAACATAAGCCCCTTGCGTGAGCGGACTGGGGACGCCCAATGCTAAATTTATCTCCTATAAACAAAATCTTGATTTTTTTTCAGCAATGGCAGTGGAAGGATAGAGAAGTGAGACTGGGCCTAAGAGGCTTACGTGCCATCAGAGCTAGCAGCCAGATGTTCTTTTCCTAAATCTGTGTTACAGGGGCCCTGGGGTTGACCTTCCATTGATGTCCCTGTGTGTGCATGTGGGGAGTAATGCAAACGAGATTTGGCTGGCAGGGATAAAGCTGGGAGAGAGGGGATGACAGAGCTAGAGAAATGGAGCGCAGTTCCAGAAGCAAAAAACGAGAAGACTGAAATGACTGAGACGGCAGGTTCGGGGCACTGGGCCCAACTGTCTACACTGTGGATCCCCCTCTCCCTGAACCAGTATGTGGGGTCCAACCATATAGGGAAACAAGGTTAATGGTTTATAGTATGTGTTGACTTTCCTACCCTGACCAAAGATCTTAGAGTCTGGGAGGGCCTGGAATCCCCCTTAGCCCAACCCACCGTACATCCAAATGGCTACTGGATGACATAGCAGCAGTGTGTTACCTTGCTTGGTCTGCACAACTGAGGGGACAGGCACAGAGCCCTCCCCCTTTTAACTACTACACAAAACCATAGCCGCATCAGTGTTCTCTCTGGAAGTGGGTAGGGTGGCAGAAGCAATCTACACTAGCTAGTGTAGCCAGACTCCCTGTACAGAGTTGAAAGGTAACTTATCACCGGCCACCTGTGCCTGCCAACTTTGTTACACAACTAGCCAAATCCGTGTGAAGCAGGTTATCGGCCCACAGGAAAGGGCGTCCCGAAATTTACTCACCCCAGTCTTGGGTCTCCATTCTTTCTGCACTTCCCAGCACACGCACAGGTCTGCTTTTAGTCTTCTTTTGTCAGTTTATACATCGACTAGGGGAAAGAATTCACTGAGGATAAAAGCTATTCCCTCTCCCATACCTGATCTGTGGTTTTTAGAGGGTTAACACACCAAATGCAGTGCTGCTGAAGTAAGCCATTCTGATGCTAAACAGCTGCAGCAGGTTTTGTCTAGTGTGCTCCAGTTAAAAATGAAAAGGATGAAACATACAAATAAACAGGTATTAGAAATGAGAACACAGAGGATCGGTCCACCAATAGAAATTCTTGACAACTCAGCACACTTACAGGTCTGATGAGCATTGCCTTTGATCTTCAGTCTTCATTTGAGGTTGTGGATGACTGATGTACCGTGCCTGTTGTCTCACCCGCTTCCTTTGGGTTGTTTCAGGGGCCCATACTGATGGAGTTACAGACTTACCGTTACCATGGACACAGCATGAGTGATCCTGGAGTCAGGTAAGAGTTGTGGGCAAGCTAACTGGTATCCAGAGTGGGTAGGGGGCTTTGAATGTTGCTGCTCACATGAAAAAATCAAAGCATTTCAACATTTGCTTTTGAAATGGCTTAAAAGCAGCAACTCCAAATACATAGATTTGACTATAGAAAACATTCTGAAAATTCATAAAGTTTAGACTATGTACATGATAGCCTGAGCAGCAGTAAAAAAATTTTTTTCAGACAAATTGTTGCATAAAACTAGTCAAATGGTAGAGGAATATATTTGGGGGCTTAAAATGCCCTGCTCCTTTGGGAGAGTTGGAATTTGACTAATAAGCACATGGGGTATTGGAGTAGATCAGCTCAGAAAGCTAGGTTATATTATAAAGAGTTTTACTTATCACTTAGAACTCCATTCTCTACACCAAGGCTGCTAAGGAAAAGAATGTATTCTAGCATCGAGAATTGGAAAACCTCTCCACGCTTCTGTGGGGCCCTAGGGGAGAAGGGAAAGGCAGACATTTATTCCTGCTTGTCATTCTGCCTCAGAGCCTACCACTATACAAAAATCATCTTAAAAGGGTAAGACAGTTGACAAGTAAATAGCCCTACCACTTCTTGATTTAGGTTTAAAAAAAAAAAGAGCCCTCTAGTCTTGGTGAATTGCCAGTGTTCTAGGTGAAAGCAGCTCCTGTAGAGTGTTACACGCTCAACACAGAAATGCAGTCTACGTTCCCCCATATTCCCATGGTGACACAGGTGTTGCTATGCTCCTATCTCAAAAACATGCCTTTTGTACCTCACTTCATTTTAACAGCATGGCCCCTTAGTGTATTGCACAAAACTGTTCTGATCTACTCATAACTACATTTCCCACCCTGTAGTTACCGTACACGAGAAGAAATTCAGGAAGTAAGAAGTAAGAGTGACCCTATCATGCTTCTCAAGGACAGAATGGTGAACAACAATCTTGCGAGCGTGGAGGAATTAAAGGTACAATTCCCCCTGGGGTTTTCAAAGTCTGCAGAGGTTGACTTTCCTTTCTGAGCAAGTCTTCTCAACTCTAAAAGCTGCCACACTCCAGGCTGAGCTCTACCGAAGTAAATGGGAGAGACTGGATTAAGTCACAGTGGCAAAGCCTTCAGCAGCACAGTTCTTTTCTTAAAGATACTTTGGCTTTTTAATGCCTAAATGCTCCCTCACTGATCCTCTTTTTAATGCACTCTATACTCCAAAATATTTGTTTAGATCGTTGTCATGTTTTTAGAGTACGACTAGACTAGTACTAGAGGACGTCTAGCAACAAGTTCTGAAAGAACTGGTGGGTACCTGAGCTGCTGCTCATTGACCATTCTCCTGTACCATATAATCTGATTTTTCAGGAAATTGATGTGGAAGTGAGGAAAGAAATTGAGGATGCTGCCCAGTTTGCCACCGCTGATCCTGAACCACCTTTGGAAGAACTAGGCTATCACATCTATAGCAGCGACCCACCTTTTGAAGTTCGTGGTGCAAATCAGTGGATCAAGTTTAAGTCCATCAGTTAAGGGGGAGAGCGCATCTATCTAATGGATGGTTACACCTTCTGTGGGCTATTTGGCAGCAACTGTAACGAACTCTATGTTCTTATCTTTGTTAAGGAGGAATTAAACCCATAAAAAAAACTTTCATTAAGGCTAAACAGTATGTAGAGTAAGTGCATGCAGTTTACTCTGCTGCATTAGAAAATGTTATTGCACAAAGTATTTAGTGTGACTATTATAAAGGTTATTTTAGACCTATATAAAATAAGTAATAGTTTGCTTAACCTTTCCTTGAAATTACATCCGTAAAGTAGTTCTATTTGACTTAGTTGTACGCACTTGTCACACTCTAGTTAAAAGGGAAAAGTTCTTGGTATGTCTGTCCACCCCTGCCCCTCGCAGCGGCATGTGGGTGCTGAAGCCTGTGCACACTGACCTGAAAGACACTGTTTATTACAGCCGGGCAGGGGGCGGGCTGGACGAACAATTCCATTCTTAAAGAAGACACAGCTACTCCGTTTCATAGGTCAAATAACTTAGTTCTCTCCATTTATACAGCCAATATAAATACGAAGCAATTAGGTTTTCTCTTTACATTCATATCAAACATAAGTACAAGGCATGTATGCTGACCAATTTCATCTTTCTCAGATGTAAGTGCAATACCAGGTCATAGTGATAGATAATCCCAGCCTTTTTGTTGTTTTTAAGTAACCACTGTTTCACCTTTCCAGCAAGTGCTACAGGGTATATACTTTTCTTTTTCATTGAAGTAAACAAATTCATTTTTCCTACTTTGGGATGGCAGAAGTAGGCCTCACAAGAGATTCTAGTCACCTTTAAAGCGTGCTGACAACAGTTTAAAGAAACCCATCTCAGTTAACAAAAGTCTTTAAACTTCAAGTACCTGAATTGGTCATCAGATAACGGCGTTTTCCTTACAGAAGCTTTCACAGCAGAAATGCCCGCGCTTTGCTCCCTTTGTCCCCTGGCTTCATTACCCTGGGAAGCCTACTCCTGGGTTCCTGGGGACCCCTGAGCGCGTCTTCTGTGCTGGGAGACAGCAGTCCAGAGTCTGCAGAGATGGCCGCCCCTACGAGATGAACAAGTCTGTCTTAGAGTCGTAAGAAAAGACAACTTCAAAGCTCACCACAGAACACTTTTTGAGGAGGCCTTTTGGTATGATTCTAGACTTGTCTCAATTTGCTGTCGAGTCTTACTGAAGATAAAAATAGGTTCTCTTCAGAGAGGAAGGTGACACGTGTGCCCCAGCAGGAATAGGACATGGCCTTCAGAGGCCTCACGGGAGTGCTAGGGGCCTGCGGAGCATGACCCGAGAGCGGAGAACGCGGGTTGCAGTGGAGGGAAGGGGGTGGGGGTGTAGTGCGCCGGCCTCTCACGCCTTTCCTCACTCCCGGCCCGGCAGGGATGGCGGGAGACCCGGAGGGAGAGAGCACTTGGGTTTCTCCTTCCTCCTCCTGCCTGTTCCGCCGGGCCTTCGGCTTCTGCCACCTCTTGCCTTTCCACCTTTAACTTGGGGGAGAACTCGAGTTTGGGGTGAAGTTGGGTAGTTTTGTTTTCTAAGCCATAGGAAAGGGAATTAATTTCAATGAAAGGGGAAAGTGACAGCACTTTTTCTACTGCTTTACTTGAAGTAATTTTCTGTTATACAAAGTGTTTTGAGGCTAGTCTTACCGTAGCTTAAGGTATCTTAGATCTTCCTTGGTGATATCGTTAAGAATGTCGGAAAGTGTGTAACCCTCTTCAACAATCTGAAACCAAGCAAATCTGTAAGCACTAAGCAGCGCGGTCATAATAGCATAGGAAGGGTGCGCATAGGAAAGGGTTGTGGTGATCAGTTTACCTTGTCGATCGTATTTGCATCTGCGCCTTGCAGCTGCAGCCATTCTACAAGCTCTTGATCTGTTCTCTGCCCGGGAGGCCCAGGAGGGGAGGCTGCATTCTCTGGACCGTCTGTAACAATTTGCAACTTGTTATGTGTTGACATGTAATATTGCGAACGAACAAGTTGGATTAAATAAATGATTCCAGAATGTAAATGTGTGAAAAGGAGATAAATTGAACTTGTCTCACTCAGCTGCCCCAGCACACACTGCACAACAATCCATAGTTCTTAGACTCCCTGCCAGAGAGAGGTCTCAGCCACAGTACCTTTAGCTGCTGTAGGATTGGACGTTCCCTGCCCGCCACTGTATGTGCTGCTTCCCTTGTCTTTAACGCGCTCTTAGCAACGTCATCCCTCACTGCACTGGGAGGCAAATGAGCACCCGGACGGTAACTCACCATTAGATTTGAACTGTAACTGAAGATAATACAGTTCTTGAGTTTTCTGGTCTAAGGTTTGCCGTAGAAGGTGCTGGTACTCTTTCTCTTTCTGAAGCAGGTGTTCCAAGAGTCTGGTTTAAAAAACAACAACACAACAGTGAGAGCGCCCAATACCATTTATCGCAAACATCTGTCACACACGAGAGGTTCTAAAAAGTCACAACCCCCGTAGTAGTGAGGGAAGTAAGACGAGCCGCGGCCTGCCTGTAACCTCAGGGCGAACAGCAACACTAGGCCCAAGGGTGAGCTGATCTCTTCAGCTCGATTCCCTGAGTCACATCGAGCTGCTAAGCTGGTGGTCAGGCCCATTCCTCACGGGCACTAAGGCAAGGCCTGGAGCAGCTCGGGGAGAGGACGAGGACGCACGCCGTCCCGTCAGCACTTCCGGGGGTAGGGACCTTTTAAACTGAGGCGCTGAGAATTCACTCAGCCACGCTGGCCGGGCGGTCGCCTGACCCTGTCTCGTCCTGCTCCCACATAGACGGGGATGGCACAGCCGACCCTCCGACACCTACTTCCCTGCGTGCCTGCGCTGGTGTGGGCCGGCGGGAGGGGCCGCAGGCGGCCACGTCTGCGGGTTTCGTTTGCCTGGGGCGTAGCACGTGGGCGTCCCGCGTTTCCAGCCACGCGCTGTGCTCCCTGCTGCCGAGCTAGGGAACCGGCTTTACTCACAGTACGCAAGCGAGTGACTGAAGCCGGCCTTGGAAGGCACTCTGCAGCAGCAGGTACGCGGGCTCTGCAGACGCCCTGTCATGCCCTGTGCTGGCTGCTCTTTGACTAATCGCTACTTCTGCCGCGGCTGGAAGGTAACGGGGCCTGGCGACGCTGGCAAGGGATGCCTTTGAACCCAAACACAGTGTTTCATGAATTTCGTGGTTAAAATGTCCCCCCCACCCCGGGAAGGATTATAAACAGATGCCAAATAGTACAACCCCCTTCACAGTCATAGTTTTAGACCTTGAGACATTTTGCCATTACCCGCTAATTCAGACGCCACGTCTTTATGAAAAGAAAGGCGACCCGCCTGAGGCTAAGCGTCGATCCTTAGGACCAGAGAACTTCTCGTCCAGAACCTGCACGCCCTGGGCCCTTGCCGCGCCGTGAATACTACTTAGCACCCGATGACGGGGCGTTTAGAGCAAGCACCCAGTTTGCAGAGCTGTAGCATGTACTTTTGGTAAGCCTGCTGGTATCGCTCCACAAGCAAAGGGGAATTACTTGTTCATTGAACACCTTTTTCGGGGCTGTGTGCCCGGAAGTGAACCAAACCACCCAGCCGTCTCGTGGCGGGGGTGCGCACAGCCATGCCAGGACTCCCCGACTGGGAGTGAAATCCACAAGTGCCTGCCCAGGATCGCGGCAAATCACGAGCAAAGACTTGAGGGTAAACCTCAGGGTCAGGGGATGGGGTACACATCCACCCATGAAGTGCTCACCACCCCCCAACTTGGCGACGCGTGCGGGAGCGCACGGTGTCCTGCCGGTGTCGCCGCTGGGCCTGCTGGACCGCACCCCCGGCGGGGAACAGATCATCCCAAGACGCTGCCGCCGGGCGGCTGGTGTCTGTGTGGCCTGGTCCTTTGCCTGTCTGATGGCTAGCGTCCAAGCCCGAGGCGTTCTAGTCTCCCTCTAGCAGCTTTCCCGGGCCCTGGGTAAACCCTCAGCAGCGCAAGCAACTGCCTCACTGGTCCAGGTCACTGCTCCGGTCTTGCTCACCTGTTGGTCTCTTGCCGGAGTTTATCCAGTTGGAGGCTCAGGCGTTGTGGGGCCTCCTGGAAAACCTCTGAGGCTGCCTGTGCTTCTCTTCCAAGCAGGGCTGCCAGGGGATAATCCTCTTCCACCTCTTCCGGGGCCTTATCTACCCCCTCAGCCTCAAAGGCGGGCTCGAAGTGGGCTCGGAGCTCTGTGACATGGAAGAGGAAATGGCCGTGGGTCACCAAGGCTGGGCTCGGCGCAGCTACCGTCCTGTGCCAGCAAACACGGCTGTGCTGAGCCCGGGTCAGCCGCTGCAACGCTGCATTTGTGGGAGGCTGTAAAAGGGAGGCGACTGCTGCTTTCATTCTCAAGTTGGCGGAGGGCAGGTTTCAAAGCTCCAACCAGGCGTCCAACCAGACCTGTGCTGGTACTCCTGCCAGCTGCCTGCTTGGAGTAGGGGACTGATAAAGTCGGGGTTCAACAAATCTGCCCTGGAAGCAGAGCCTTGGCAGGAGGTGACAGGGAGGGAGTGAGGAGGCAGTGGCACTGCCAGCAGAAGCGTGGCAAAGCCGCCGTTCCTAGGAAGAAGTCACCACGGGGGAGTCGGCTCACACTGCTCTGACGTTTTACGAAGTCCACAAAAGCCAAACATTTCTACAGCTATCCCGTGATTCTGGGGGACACCAACCCACGAGATCAACCAACCAGTCAGTGGGTGTTCTGGGCGTGTACGCACAGCTCCTGGGGATGTCCTTGGAGTCACAGAATCGGCCCTGGGAGGGGTCTGTGACGACAGTTACTCAAGTGCAGAGCACAGAGCCAGGATGCTCTGTGATGAACAAGCAAGCAACGACTGTTGAGGGCAGAGGACACTTCTGCTCTTTTCCCCTGCCTGAGGCGCACCTTGACCTGGAGAAGGTGGCACTTACCTGGGGTGAGAATGGTGACAGCGGCCTGCACCGCTCGGCGGATGATGTTATCCATTGCAAACATCCAGTGGGGCCTAATTAAGTGGTTCCTCAAAATTTTATTTACCTAAAAACACAAAATTCCAGACTCCTGATCTACCAAGAAATGAGCGCTTTCACTCATCCTGTCTATTCTGACATAAAATGTTACCCAGGCTGGCCTGGATCTCAACCCAACTTGATTCTTCTGTGCTGAGCCTTCCAAGCGGACCCCCAGCCACGCTGCGGGCTGGGCAGCTCTACGGGCTCGCCCTCACCGCGCCTGGGTTCACTCAGCAAGTCCTTCCTGAGCACCTCTGCACGTGGGGTCTGTGCCGGGGGCTCGGGACAAAGATAAGCCAGCCGAGAGCAACCCCAAGCCGGGCAGAGAAAAGCTTGACCCTCCCCCGCTCCGCTGGCAGACACCCGAGACGGTCCCAAGGCCTAGACGCGGGTTCTTGGGCCCGCGGGCAGGGAGCCCGGCCGCTGTGTGTTACTCAGGGCGTGGCCGCGGCAGCTGGGACTCGGGACGAAGGGGGTGAAGAGAGACCAGGACGATGGGAGAAGGTGGTGACCGAGCTCCCTGGTCTCGGCTGTGAGCCACCCCCGGGGGCTGCTCGCCTACCGGCACGTTCTGGGGGGCCCGACGCGGCACTTACGGCGTCCTGAAAGCCGAAGAGCACCAGGTGGATCTGATTGATGGATGAGCTGTCGAAGTCCAGGTCCACTTTGAGCTTGGAGATGGTGGACGCCATGACCCGGTGCTCCGGGGAGCGGATGAAGTCCCTCAGGATCCCGATGATCTGCTTGATGTGGCCGACGGAGAGCTGCAGCTCTTCGGAACTCTGCTTGCGCCCCGCGAAACAAAAACTGTTCTCACTGAGTCAGAAGAAAAACTCAAAACGCGCGAGAAACCGGGTTAAGCAGATTGTCCAGTACCCGCTTGTGAGGGGTTCTGTGGCCCCTTGGCCCCCTGAACTGGGACTGGTTCTGCCTGGTCACCCCTTTGTAAACAGCCCCCCGCCCCCTCTAACTGAAAGGAACTTTCCTCACCCCAAATCAGTGACAACTCAAGTATTTGCACCCAGAACCTTTCTCCCTACGGGGGGCTCCCAGCTGCGGGGCCTGCAGCTGGGGTTCGAGCGGGTCAGGGCTGCGACGGCAGGGCGAGGCCCGGGCTGGGGGCCCGTGAGCTGGGCGCTGCTGTTGGCCTCGTTTCCCGCCAGGGGGCAGCGCCACCTCCTCTGTGCCCGGCTGCCCAGCCGTCCCCGCACAGCCAGGTGTCAGGGGCGTCTTCCTCCGCGTTTTCTGTCTTCCGAGGCGGCGGAGGACACGGTGAGAGCCTCGCAGGCGTCACGAGGCTGCCGCAGGAGCCCGGGCCGTTGGCCTTGGACGGGGCAGAGGGGCGGGACCCCCCCCCCCAGGCTACCTGGGCCACGCAGTCCTGCAGATGGGAAGCCACCTGGTTCTGCTCCACCCACAGGATTTTGTACAGGATGGCCCGGCGCTCGCTGTCCTTGCGCAGCAGGAAGAGGCCCGGGTCCCTGTCCTCCGGGGAGGAGGCCGTGCCCCTGTCTTCCAGGGCCGAGCTCTCATCCGGGACGCTGCAGAGAACACGGCACAGTCACCTGGAGCCAAGTGCCCACGGAGCACATCAGCAGAGGTCATGTCTCTGCTGTCCCCGACCCCAAGGCAGCGACGTGTGGAAGGCGGGCGGGGGGGGGGGGGGGGAATCCTTTTCCATCCCCAGCAGCACCAGGGGCGGGACAGGGAGAAGAGGAGGGAGCTGAGGGAGGCGGGGGAGGGGCTGACGAGGGAGCCTCCCGGGGGACGAGGCCACGGGCGGAGGGGACAGCGAGCCCGCGTGCACACCCCGCCCTCCCGGCCGGCCCTGCTGGCCGCCCGCTGCCGAGCAGAAAGGGAGCAACGGCCCTTCGTGTCCTCCGGCTTTGACGCGGGAGGCATTTCGCCCCCTCGCGGGCTCGCGGTGGGGACGCGGGATGGGGCCACCGGTACCTGAGCAGGTGACTGAGCTGCTGCTTGGGGGCCTGGGCTTTCTCGAAGAACACGTCGGGCTGGGCCTCCGTGTCAGGGGAGACAGAGCCGTGTTCGCTGCTGCTGCTGCCCAGGGGCTCCCTCGGCGCGGGCAGGGCCAGGGTGGCACCCCGGGCACCCTCTGTGTGGACAGACAGGAGGGGGGCTGGCACGCGGCAGCCGCTCAGGCCAGGTGTCCCGCGCGGGGGCCGAGTCCGCACAGCTCTAAAGGGGGAGCCCAGATCCCTCTGGGAGGCCGGCGAGGGGCGAGGCGGGTGGGAGACGGTCTCTAGCCGGCCCGAGGGGCGCGCCGGGCCAGCTAGGGGAAGGCCACGGGGTGACCCACATGCCGAGCCCCTCCGTCTTGGGCCCGACCTCGACGCACTCAGAAAAGGAGAACGAACGGCCTCCCCTGCAGGGCCCACGCCGGGCACCTCGGGGGCGGGGGCTTCCAGCCCGGGACACGCACACCCGGGCTCCGCGGCCGCGGGCAGCTCCCCACACGCCCTTTCCTCCGGCCGCGGAGCAGCGCGGGGCGGCAGCCAGGCTCCCCCAGGCCCCCCGGCCTCCCTTGTCCTGAGCGCGCGGCGGACGGAGGGGCCGTCACCAGGGGGGCCTGGACCGCCCCCACGCCTCCGGTGCCAGTCCCTGCCGCTCTCCAGAGACAGCACCGGCCGGCACGCTGCCCAATGGGCGCCCGGGGCTCCAGGCGGTGCCCCAGCTGGACTGGGAGGCCTCACCTGAAGGCCTGAAAGCAATCTGGTTCTTCTTGCCCTTCTTCGCCTGCCTTAAGAAGCCCTCCTTGAGCAGGTCAGCGGCCGTGACGCGCTTGTGGGGGTCAGGCTGAAAGCAGGACAAAATGAAGGCCCTGGCTTCGGCTGAAAGGGCTTCGGGAATCTCAGGGTGGATCTTAAACATTCCCACCTGCATTCGAGAGAGAGGCGAGACGGACCGTGAGGCCTCGGGCGAATCCAGGCCCGCAGGCCTCCAACCCGGGAGGCCACACCGCCATCCTGGGAGGGGCTGAAGCAAGAGTGTGCAACAGCCTCCATGCCTCGCCCCTGCGTCCACATGCCCCCGCTGGCCTCTTGGGACTTTGCCAACAGCTTGGGGGGTGGGGAGCGAGATACTGAGGAGTGTCTAGAACCACCTCCTGTCATCAACATTGGACGAGTTTACTTCTGCTTTAGGGTAGACTGGCCACCACTCACCAGGTGACTCTCGGATGAATCACTGCACCAGCGGCGCCATCCAGGGAGCATTTCTCTGGACAACGTGGCCACAAAGGGTTCTACCTGCTGGGCTCTATGAAAGGGGGGGGCGTTCTCTGTCTTTGCCATCCGAGTGGATTGCCCGTGGTGCACCTCACAGTCTGACTTCACGCTTATTCAAGAGAATTCCTTCCCTGCAACCTTCGAGGAGAAGCTTCTGGATCAGAGGAGGTTTTGTTTCTAATTCTATTTCCCCAACACGGGCCTCCCTGGTGGCGCAGCGGTTGAGTGCTGGGTTGCGAAGCTGCCCGCAGCCTCTGTGGCGCCGGTTCGATCCCAGGCTGCTCCCCGGCCACCGGAGGAGGGTCCCACACGGCAAGCAGACCTCTCCTGCTGCCCGCTGCTCCCCTCAGCAGTGTGCTTTGTCCAGTCTGCCTGCTCTGCTCCCCGCTCTGGCTCTGGTGAATTCTCTCACCCTCCCGCGCTTCTGACTGTACCCAGTGCATGTATAAACAAAAACGAACAAACAAACAAACAAATAAAAACATGCCTCTTTAAAAAAAAAAAAAAAAAGAAGTGCTCTATTTCCCCAACACCGGCAACCTCAGTCCCCCAACACGTCTTACTTTGAACATGGCTGCCTGCGGCTCGCCGAGCTCATGGAACGGGGGCCTGCCGGTGGCCATCTCGATGATGGTGCAGCCCAGGGACCAGATATCGGCCGGGGCTCCGTACCCTCGAGGTCCCTGGTCGATGATCTCAGGGGCCATGTACTGCAGGGTGCCTATCGGGAAAATGCAACACAGGTGACAGGGAGACGCTCCAGCCCCGACCCAGCCCCCTGGGACCCGAAATCCAATGGGGGCGCCGAGACCATCACGCAAGCAGGATTTTCAAATTCCCAGCAAAAAACCACATGGCCCAGGGCAGTCATTTAGAAGTTTGAATGAAGGTGCCAAGACACGACTGAGGTGCCCAGGCATTTCCTTGGTGGGAAAAGGGCCACAGGTGCCCCTTTCTAAGGGATCTCAGACCACTGGTTGGGAAACTCTGGGGGCTCTTTCCCGGGGCCTTCTACCAAGACCGAGGGGTGTTGAAAGGGACTTCCTTAGAGAGCTGCGCGGGACCGTCCACCCTCTCGCTGGAGGCCCCGGGGAGCGGGTGCCCTTAGGCGGGTGTGAGCCCACGGACACTCAAGCCACTCGTCGTCCGAAAGGAGATGCGAGGCGCAGCTTCCCGTGGCCGTGGGGGGCACCCCAATGGCCCAGCCCAAGGGATGGGCCTGGCGGGAGGCGCCACCGCTTCTTTCTAACCCAAAGCCAGTGAGGGAACTTCCGCGGGCTCCTTCCGCGCGTCTCCTGCGGGGAAGCTGCCCAGAGGATTGGTTCCCACGGGAGCGAAAGCAGTTTATGGCGGCAGAGCCGGGGGCCAGAGTGTGGAGATGCCGCCCGCCCTCCCGGCAACGGGTGAGCGACGCCTGATCCTGGCCCCAGACGCAGCGCCCGAAGTAGAAACCCTGAGGCTCTCTGTGCGAGGATTCCGCCTGGAGGCAGAGGACGCGGGAGGGGGTACAGCGAGGGAGGAAGGGGGGGAGCAAAGGACAGACCTTGCCTGACAAGAGTGGCCGCCAGAGGGGCCGCGCGGCGCGAGCAAGCAGCAGCCGGCCCGGAGCGCACAAGACGTTGGCTCAGGACCGAGCTAGGGAGCAGCGACTTCCAGGCGCCCCCCCCCCCCCCCCCCCCCCCCCCCCCCCAAGGAAGAGAAGGCGCCACGGGCCCCCGGGGGGCTGCGCTGGGCCTCAGGGCCGGCTCGGGCTGTGCTCGCTTCTCCGGGCACCGGGCGCCGCGGGTCGTCCAGGGGTGGGGGGCGGTGGCGGGCAGGGCTGCTGCCCGGCGTGGGGGGCGAGCATGGCACAGGTTCGCATCCCGGGGGCCCAGCAGGGTGCGCACTGAGCGCGACCCTCCCCGAGGCCCGTCACGGCTACTGTGGCTGCCGAGCGCCCGGCAGTGCTTCCCTCCTCGGCGCTTCCGCTGCCCGCCACGGGAGGCGGCGCCGGGCAAGACGCTTCCTCAGTGTGAACTCGGCAGCCACCGACCGCCCCAGGCAGCGGGGCGCGAGCGTCTCCGCCGGGCTCGGAAGGAAACCGGGGCACACGGGGGCCCCATGCCCAGGGTCAAGCTAGGGAGTGGCGGGTCCAGAATTTGAACCCAAGAAAATTCCCGCAGACCCAACAGAGCGCCCGCCCCGAGCGCCGCCGCGGGCACCGCGAGGGCCGGAACCTGCGCGCAGCCCCGTGGGCGCGGCCCGGCGAGTCTCCCCGGCTGAAAGCAGGCGCTTCCGACCGGGCATGATTTGGCAACAAAACTTACCAAATAGGGAGATTGTGCTTGAGGAGAGCGGGGACAGGGGTGTCCCCTCAGCCACAACGCCGGCGCCGCGGGAGAGGACACACGGGACCGCGGGGCCTCCCGCAGCGCCCGCGCCCGCCGACGGCGCTCAGCAAATCACCGAAACGGAAACAAATCATCACGGGATCTGCCCAAGACAACCGATCCCCAGACGCAGCCACAGAACGGCGGCGGCGGGCGCTGGGGGGTGTGAGGCGACGCACAGCAGCTGAGGCGAGATATTCTGCGCCAGGGGCCGGCAGCCCGGGAACGAGCAAGCAGAAGCGCCCCCGACGGCCGTTCCCGGGCTCCCAGGGGAGCGCCCACGCCGCCGGCAAAGGAAGCGCCGCCTCACACTCGACTCACACTCGTGCAGGCGCCTGGAGAAGGGATAGCGCCGGGAGCACCGCGCCCCGCGGGGAGGACTCTCGGGGCGAGCACGGCTGTGCAGGGGCGATGGGAAGGGGGACTGCGGGGGCACAGGCCCTTTGCGGGGCAGGAAATGCTCACAACCTGGATCGGGTGCGACCCGGCAGACTCCCGGACACCGCAGGCCCGGCTCCCGGGCCCTGCCCTCCTGTTCCAGCCGGTGTCCGCGCACCGCGGAGACCTTCCGGAGGAACACGGGGGAAGGGCTCCAGCCCACAAGCCACCCGAGGCCCCTGCCGCCCCTGCCCGGCTGGACAGCCTCCAGGGCGCGTGGGGAAGTCCGGCCTTGTCGAGCCAGGCCCAGAGGGCTGCACCACGCAGAGATTTCTTGACAGAACCGCTCTGTTTCCCCAAGAGTGATTAGAGGCAGGGGAATTTCCTACCCAAAATGACACCCCTTCTTTATTATCCCCCAGACACCCCTGCATTATTTTGCAATGCAAAATGCAGCCTCCGCAAGCCAATTACTTGGGAAAATGCGCTATGTGATAATGAATCTTACATGCATTTTCTTTGTCATTTTTTTTCTCCTTGGAGTTGCTAATTATGAGATAAATTGTTGGGGGTTTTATGTCTTGAAATAACTCTTGTCATATCAGAGCCCCTCTTGCCACATATTGCCGAGCTAATTGGTGGCTTCCAAAGAGAAGACTATAAGTCATTCTCAATTAGGGTAGTTAAAAAAAGTGCCAGTCATACATGCAAATACATATATACATATTCATGTATTCATTTACATACATGTACAACAATGAATGAAAATTCCATGCACTCTCTTCTTTGGGAGATTCTAGAGGGTTCTTGGTATAATATTTGCCCATTCTGAGAGGCATGTACTTCTCCTGGTACCACAACTGAGAAATCATTTTTTAGAAATTTTTTAAAAGATTTATTTATTTATGCATACAAGAGCTGGGTACAGGCCAGCAGTGTGGGGAGTGAGAGGATTCACTAGAGACAGAGCGGGGAACAGAACAGGCAGACTGACTGAAATACACTGCTGAGGGGAGCAGCAGGCGAGACAGGAGAGGTCTGCCTTGCCATGTGGGCTGCTCCCTGGGTGGGGATTGAACTCATGCTGCAAAGGCTGCGGATTGCTTCACAGTGCGGTGCTCAACCCCTTGTGCCACCAGGGAGGCCCTGAGAAATCATTTTTGATGCATAAAAATTCCCTTTAGATAGGGAATGTGTCTCCACCGTGGGCGTCCAGTGGCTGACATACAACAACTCTCTTATTGAGGAAAAGTCTTTCCAAGTCCAGGCATTATTCATCAAAACTAAGGCCAAATAAGGCCAGTGGATAACTTGATGCTACAGGGATGGGGAACAGTCATCTGTCTTCTAGAGCTTACTTCAGAGCTACAATGTAAGCATCAAACAAGACCTTTGCGGCCTTTTGAAGTACATCTTAGGGGATGATACAGCCTTGTTGAAAATCAGTACTTATTTCTATGGATCAAAGTTTGTATTACAGTTGCTCTGAAGCAAGAACTTCAAAAAGTCATAGGTGGCTGGTGAGCGTCACTCTACTCATTTGTCTTGTAAAGGTAAACGTGGATGGAAACTTTATCCCACTTTTTGAATGTGGTCCTTTCCTCAACGCTTAAATGATTCCATCACTGACACATGAAGAAAATTCAGTTCCTCAAACCCACTTAGAATACCCTGTTCTCTACAAATTAGCCTCTTGGCTAATGGAAATGCAATCATCCCAAAGCACAAGGTACCAGAACTCACTAAACTAACAGGCTATTTTTATGAGGGACCAATAAAATGCCCTGACGAGTTGTCTGAGGAATAGTTACTCAGAATGACCCACGATTCTGAACAACATGGCTGCCATTTTGCTGACTGGTCAGAAACTCTGGGGAAACCTCAAGGAGAGCCCTACACCAACCCAACCTTTGAAAGACAAAGAAGAAAGACAATCTTGTTGCCACAGAGTCGGCTAAATGCATCCTTACAAGAAAGACAAAACGACGTGATGTTGGGGACAATACACTGTCCACTTCCACGGTCTGTGGCCCGGCCCGCGCTGCCAAGGCACTCAGCAGGCAGCGCTCAGAGGACCGTGCTTGTGAGCAGAACGTCCAGGCCACCCCCATACCCCGTGCCAAGTGTGTTCTGCTTACCAGTAAAAGTCTCTGTACAGGGATTCACTCCTGCGAGACGTTTAGAAGTTCCAAAATCAGAGATTTTCACCACTCCACTATAGGTGTTTACCAGAACATTATCGCCCTTTAGAAAAAGAACAGGAGTGCTGAAAGAGACTGACTGACAAGCGTGAAACAGCACCTTCCTGCCCCCTCCCCCCAAGACAGCCCCAGGGCTCCAGGTAGACTGGACTTTGCCCCTTGCAGATGTCACTCTGTCCCTGCCCTCCTGTGAGGGGCCCCAGGGCCTTGGGGGCTCAGGTGAGCCTGTACCTTGATGTCTCTGTGCACGATCTGGTTTTCGTGGAGATACTTAAGGCCCTCCAGGATCTGCTTGGTGTAAAACTTGATGGTGGGCTCCTTCATCGGCCCCCACTTGGATCGCAAAAGAGCAGACAGGCTTCCTGGCAAGAGACACAACAGAAAACTGATAGGGGTGATGAGGAGAAAAAACTAAGTTGGTGTTTCTGGTCTCAGGTGGGCACCCACGCCAGGGACACAACCGGGCTAGCCCTGTCGCTTGCCAGCTGCCCACATGCAGGTGGTAGATCCTACCCCAGGGTCAGCCATTCCACTGGGGTCAAAGCTGTGTTTACGTCTCCTCCTGACATCAGAGGGCAGGACCAGGGAGGGGGGCCTTTTAGGATGACGGCGACAAGGCCTAGAAGAGACTGGGTATCATCTGAGTTCACTGAGTGGAGGTGCCAGGACCCCTGACCCCTATTAACTATTAAACACTGAACCTTTCGGCCAAAAGCAAGCCTCCTTTCGTGGCATCCTGACCCCCTGGTTCAGGTGCCATCCTGTGAGAACAGGTGCTTGGGCATCAGCCAGTCCCGGCTGGCTTTACAGTCTATGCCAACTTGCTCTGCCTCAGTTTTACCATCTGTGAAGGGGACACATGCGTTCATTTGCAGGTCTAGTGTCATCCTCAAACTTCACGCTGGAATATCAATAAATATGAGCAGCGACCAACGTTTGCTCTTAGACCACGAGCAACTGGCAAAAAGCTGCACTTTACCCTAAATACAGCCCTCGACCTGGGCCACCATCTGACTTTTTATGCAGCCAGGCTCTTAATAGTAGGCTCCTGATAACTGCTGAGTGAATTTACGAATCAAGATTTCTAGCTGAAGTTTTTGCATTTATATTCCAGTCATAACAGTTATTATAACTATTATTAACTTTATTATTATTGAAATGAGCACTTACTAAGTTTTCACTCTCTGCCAGGCACCATTTAAAGAGCTTTACATACATAACTTATTGAATCCACCCAACAACCAACAACTGAGATAGGGTCATTATTACTCCAATAATTATTACTCCAATTATAGTAATTAATATTACCCCAATTTTACAATTCATTTATTCAATAAGAAAACCGTGGGCACCGACAAGTAAAGAATTTGCTGGACATCACACAGCTCGCAGATGGAGGCCCAGAGAGTCTGGCTCCAGATCCAAGACACTCTTACTCCTGCAATGACCGCCTACATTTGGGAATTTGGGGGAAAAAACACTGGTAATTGACTTCACTGTCAAACTGCTATTTTGCAATGTCAGTGTTGAAACCCCTGTACTCTCTTTTCTGGCCTTCTTCAAACCACTGTTAAACTCCTGCACTGTGAAGGCTTCAAAGCCGAGACTCTGCTTTCAGCATCTGTCTCCAGCCCAGCCCACTGTGACTACCTGATGGCTGCATTAGCCAATCCGAAGTCGACGCTTATGGAACACTGGCCAGTTCATAGCCAGCTCACGCTCTCCCACAGCTGGAAGGTCTTTTTTTTTTTTTTTTTTTTTTTTTTTTGTGGGACCCTCGCCGGCGGCCGGGGATCGAACTGGTGCTGCAGAGGCTGCGGGCAGCCTCGCAACCCAGTGCTCAACCGCTGCACCACCAGGGGAGGCCCTAAGGTCTGTCATCTTTTACATGGAGGATGGGAAATGATGGTCATGCTGTTTTCATTAGTGATTTTCAGCAAGAGACACCAGAAGACCAGAGGCTGCTCACCTCCAGGCACCTGCTCCATGAATATCTTAATGAAGCCATGCTCGGAGACAGAGCCCAGGTACTGCACAATGTTGCGGTGCTTGAGGTGCTTGTGCAGGGCGATCTCCTCATGCAGCGGCTGAGAGTACCTAGTGGGAGAAGCACAGCCAGCGTCACCTTCACCTGCCACATCCTTGGGACTAGGGGTCCACACTGCACCTTGCCCGTGCCTGCCCTGTTGCTGGCCCGGCCTTCTCTCTGGAAACATTGTCTCCAGAAAGATTCTCTCCCTAAGCAACCAGGAGACAATTCAACTCCCCTAAGATTCTCTCCCTAAGCAACCAGGAGACAATTCAACTCCCCATCTGTAAAATGGGGGACAATAATACCAACTGCGCCGGGCTGCTGGGGACCCAAGTGTGCCGCGCTTCTCAGCAGAGTGTGTGGTGTGTGCTAGGTTAGCAAAGAAAGGCTGCTGTGAAGACCTGAACTCCCTGACCATCCTGTGCCCCTCAATAGTCTCTCTTGCACTGCCGCTTATAAAAGGTGCTGTTCTAGAAGGTTCTACTCTCAGCTGTCTTGTAGTCTTATTCCATATCCTCGGTATGAGTCAGCAAATGAACCTCTCAGGGCCAGGCTGTGGTGTCTAGTCTATCCTGCCCTTGGCTGCTATTCCCACTTCCTCATCCGCATCCCTCCTCACGGGGCTTCCCTTCATAAAGCCTACATAAGGGCGAGTGCGCTCAATGTGGCACAGAATGGCCTTCAACTCAGACCCGAACACACCTTTCCAAACCTCTGCCTCCTTCCAAGAGTGCCCAGCGCCCCACATCCTCCAGTCAGGTCACAACAGACAATCTGCTCTGAAACGCCCCATGTTTTAACGGTTCTTCCCCCAGCACAGCACATGTGGCCGCCTTTTCTGCCGGACAAACTCCTACTCATTCCTCGAAGACCAGCTCGAAGATGACTTATTTTCTCCCATAGCCACGACTCACCAGAACAAATAATTCACTCCTTGGTTCTACAGGCGCGGTGCTCCCCCCAACAGCGCCGCTACCCTGGCTCTCAGGCAAGGCCTGTGCGTTCCCCACCCCGCTGGGGGCACCCCGCCGCGATGCCAGGATGCCAGCTCGGACGCGGCCCGGCGCAGGCGCCAGTATCGCAAGCCCACTCGGTCAGCTTCGGCGCGGGCCCACGGCCCCGAGCGCCCCTTCCAGCTCGAAAACCCCAGCCGCGACCGCAGGAAGAGCCGGGACGACAACTGAAACCCGCCGCGGCCTCCCCGGACGCACCGACACCGCCGCCAGCGCGAGAGAAGGCGAGGACGTGCCTGCTGTCCCGCTCCGGGATCTCCTTGATGGCGATGCGCACCTGGTTGCTCAGGTCTCTGCCGGCGTACACGACCCCGTACGTGCCTCTCCCCAGCACCACCCGGTCCCCCTGCGCGTCCTGGTCGTACTCATACTGCGGGAGGAAAAGCGGGAGGACACACAAGCAGCGGCTTGAGGCAGCGCAGCCCAGGAGAGCCCCGAGGCTGCTCCACCCTTTGTGAAAGGTATAAATGACATTGGGTGAGTGTCAAGGTCACCGGCCCTAGAACGCGCCCATGTCATGGAACACAACAGGCCCTTGGGTCACGTTTCATCATGCAGATGAGAAAAAGGTCACTTTCCACCCAGGGCCACTGTCGTCGTGGGGCCTGCACATCCTTGCCACGTCAGGTGGGTACCTGGGTACCCACAGGCGCTGGCCCCCCGCGACCCTGAACTGGAACCAGGTCGGAAAAGGAAGGAATGATGACAGCTGACTGTTTCGTACTAGGAGTGTTTTTGTTCTTTACTGCAGAGTTTGCTGATGTTTTTGTGGTCAGAAATATGCCGCAGGAGCGTCACTCACTCTTGTTTCTATCCGTCCACAGGAAAACTTGCTTATGCATCATTTCACTTCAAGTTGCAACTTCCAACAACCTACTGACGATGTCAAGTGAGGACTTACTGTACAATTTTATTTCCGTATTCATGATTTTATGAAACGGAATCCAAAAACTTAAGTATAAGGCTCACATGTCACCTAGATGGCTCACTTTTTGGAGACTCCCCTCCCCGCCCAATACTGAAATTTAAGAATCCTCTCAAACGTGCCAAATACTTCAAACAGGCGCCTTCCCTCATGATCCCTCATCCATCTCTCAGGAAACAAACTTTTTCCTGAAGCCCAGAAAAGAAGCAAAGGTCAGTAATATTTAAACTGTCTTGACACAAAGGGCACCTGCTGGACTTCACCTGCTTCTGGATGCACAGAGCTAGCATTCACCACCACTGCACTACATGCGTTCAGCCTCCAAGACGTACTGTTACTTTGGCACCCCAATTTTATCAACAGAAGTTGTTGTACGGCTGCATTCCAGCTGCTGCTTCTTGATAAGACACAGGTAACCCTAGGCTGAGCAACACTTATTTAAAAGAGACAACAAGGGATTCCTTTTTAAATTTTTTTTTGAAGCACCCCTGGTTTGTAATATTATGTGGGTTTCAGGGGTGCAGCCTTATAAATCAGAACGTGTAGAGACGCCACCTTTACCCCTGGAAATCCAGTTTCTAGCCAGCAGCACACAGCTGACCCCTCTCCCTGACTTACCCACCCTGCTTTCCCCTGTCTCACTGGTAATTACTATTTTATTCTCGTAATCTGAGAGTCTGTTATCGTGGTCTATGTAGTTGCTGCTTTTCTGCCATCTAGATTCTCCGCTCCACTGTGTCTACTCACGGATACTCACAGAGCAGTGTGTGCGCATGTGCATGCACATCTCCCTTCTCGGCTACTTCAGGGGTGACAATAACAGACCCCTAAGGGATCCCCATCGCCATCTGATTTAACCAGATGTCAGCCTGCTCCGCAAAAGCTTTGCTCTCACCTTTCTTTGTCACCGCATCTCTGACCTCCAACGTGCAACGCACCTTTCGTTTCAACAACAAACTGATTCGAAATAAAGAATTTGTGTACCTGACTCCATTATTAAAATGAATCTCTGCTATTTTCTAAAAGAAACCTCAAGGAATTGATTTGTAATCTCATTAAACTGCAATTGTTGTGAGAACCTGAATTAGGGGCAAATCTGATTAATTGTACAAGACTCAACTCTCCGAAAGAGCTCGTCATGATCTTACCGTCTCAAAAATGATTTTAAAATTTTCATATTTAATATTATATGCAAGATACAAACTAAAGCTACTTTAGGTATAAGTGAAAACATCTGCTTCCCGTTAGCCATTTTTTCTTGGTCTCATGAACATTGCTAATTTGCTTAGGAAAAACTTTCATAGGTTGTGCACAAAAGGGAGATTTTGGTATAATCCATGCCAAGTTTTCTTAAGTGATCTGTCCGTCAGGATCCCAGAGTAATGAGGTATTTCTAGAAAGAGGCATTAATATCTGAAAGCCATGGATAGTGATGGCTAGCTCACTCATAAAAGAATATTTCTGAATACACTTATAAAGAATTTCATACTCAAAAATAGGACATTTTCTTTAAGCATCAAAGACACAATAACTTATTTCATGTTCTATGTCTTCTGTGACTCACCTCTAAGGTGTCCCCATCAGTCTCTCCCTCCAGTTCCACCGTACTGCCCACGGTTATCATCTCTTTGACCAAAGAGCAAAACCTAGAATAGCAAATGTCACAAGATGCTGCCAATTATGATCCTCTCTTGGTCCTACCTTTAACTTAACCTTCTTACATTAAACTGTGATTAAATCTAAACCAAGCTTGTACAAGTTCATGCAGCAGTCTACTCCTTGATTTGACATGGGACTCTTACCTACTCCATCCAGTTCAAATACCCATGTGACTCTTGAATCCTCTCTATGCAGTACCCTCACCAAATGGTTGGCCTGAACACCCCCAGGGAGAGCACTCATTACCTCACAAGGCAGCTTATTCTTTGGAGAACGCCACGAGGAATGCTTCACTTTCACTGAACTAAAGACTTCGTTTATGTGCGTTCCATCCATGGATGGCTTAGAATTAATCCCTTTTCTACGTAACAGTCCATTAGAAATGTACAGAATTTTATTATGTCCCTGTAAGTCTCTCCTCCTTGCTCCCCAGGAGCTGTTTGTGAGGCACCCCACTAGCAGAGAATTCTTCAAGTGTGTCCCCGGATCACTCCTCCTGTCTGTGCCTGAGACCAGTGTTCTAGGAGTGATCTAATCACTGCTAAGGATTATGGGGCCATCACCTCCCAAGCTGTAGACACTCAAGTTCTTAGTGACAAACAGAGTCTTCTATGAGAGGAAGGCTGGGGAAGAAACGCATAAGGCCGTCACACTGCTCTGTCAACGCATATTAAGCTTAATATCAACTATTGTTCAAAAATCTCACAACTGCTGCTGGGCCACATCAGTCATGTGCTAGACGTGTGTGGCTGTTTACTTGCATGTAAGTGATTAGACTCATCAGGTCTTTTTTTTTTTTTTTTGTGGGACCCTCGCCGGTGGCCGGGGATCGAACTGGTGCTGCAGAGGCTGCGAGCAGCCTCGCAACCCAGTGCTCAACCACTGAGCCACCAGGGGAGGCCCTCATCAGGTCATTTTTATTTAAAGTTCTTAAGATGGCAGGGGAGAGTACTGCACACTTTAAGATAATTCCCACAAACATCATACATCACTGATGGGAATGTAAATGGAGAAAACACTCCATCTTTCAAATGATGAACAGATAAGTCAAATATATCCAGAAAACAGAACAGTACTCAGCCACCCAAAAGAAGGAAGCGGTGATAGGCGCTACCACACGGATGAAGTTAAAACCATTATGGCAAGTGGAAGAAGCCTGTGACAAAAAACCACCTACCACCCGATTCTATTTATATGAAATGTCAAGGATGGGCAAACGCATAGAGACAGAATGTAACTAGTGGTAAGCCAGGGCTAGAGCTGTGGGGATTAGGTGGAGGTCAAATGGGGAGTAATTGCTAATGGATACTGGGTTTCTTTTGGGGTGAAAAATATTCTAAAACTAAACAGTGGTGATGATTAAAAAACTGAATATACTGAAAAAGGATTTCAGTCTTTAATCACCTGCAAATCAATGCACTGCATGGTATGAGAATGATACTCAATAAAGCTGTCAAAATAATTTTTCCACAAGCCAAAATTTCAGGAAGGCAGTAGAGCAAATAAATCTTTTTCACAACAAAAATCTTTTACAATGATTCACCACAATTAGATCACAGATACCTGAATCAGTTGCAACTCACCTATTACACTGGTCTTCAGTGGAAAAGTAGATCTGAAAGTCATCAGAATTATCATGGACGTAAAGAAAGCAGCACCGCTCATCAAACTTGGATATGCTGTAAAATTTAAGAAACATAAGCATATTTATTATATATGCTATGATATCATTTTAAACCCTTGAAAAAAATCTAGTAAGAGAATTTCTTCCATCTTAAAAACCTGAAATGTTCATTAATGTTTTAACAGATACCTCGCAAATCTGACTTCTATTTCTCTATGACACTTAAAGAGCAGGGACATTCACCTTGCTTATGCTTGTGTTTGGATTCAATGACTACTTTAATATGTATCCAGAACTTAACTATGTTATATTCAGTGCCAAGCAAAGCACATGGGCTGCAGAAAAGAGAGTCAGGAAAAGTATTTGTGAAATAATTACAGTATAAAAAGAATTTCTAGACCTGAAAAATATCAGGACGCAGTATTTGTGACCACAGGGAAGGAGACAGCCATAAAGCACCTTAGCTCAAGAAAGTCCTTTGCGTTCTGTCTGGTCCATCCCCACCCAAGTGGACCTGATGCTGCGGCTCCTCCAACAGGCAGTATTTGGCCTGCCTGGGCATATCCAGCAACAGAAAGTCATCACACCCCATCACACTATCAAGACTGACCTTCCTTCTCAAGGAAAGGAAGTCATTTTATCTTTCCCTTTCTAAGACATCTCTTCCGGGGGTCCACAGACTCTCTGACCATTCTTCGTGTGTTCCAGATTACATGACCATACTGAGTGAAAGAGTAATAGCATAGGGTGATTTTGAGAGTTAAAATTAGGTCACACATGACCAAGTCCTGAAAAGCAATCTCTAAAGGAACTACCGCAGCCAGCCGGATAGCGTCAGACCGCACAACACACGCTCTTCGTGTCTCAGCAACTGCAGGGCCTGACTGGCCCCAGGCCCTGAGCATGTCCATGCTGACAGCTGAAAGGGCCTAACCAGCTATCTATGAGATGGACAAACAGAAGATCCTTGACTACATATC